CCTTTACAGTGCCAAGTCTGGAAGCAAACGGATTTTTGACAGTGCCAATGTGCCAGTGCCTCCTGGAATATATGACATCTACACTTACCAACAGGTATGTAGGGCGGCTCTGTTCAAATATCTCCTATCCCCTTGACATTGTACAACTTCAGGTAATCTGGGTCCAGCCCTGCCCAAGAAGACTGTGTAAATGCTTGAGTTGCTCTGAAGAGAGGGCTACATTATACCTTCATGTTTGTTTGTTTCTCATACTGTGAACTGAACCCAGAGCTTTTCACATGGTTGGTAAGTACTATGAGGTTTTATCCTCAGCTCTCTTTTAACTTTCGAGATAAAGTTTTACTAAGTTACACATGCTGATCTTAAACTTGTGGTTCCCAAGAATCTTTGATTACATGTCTGAACTACCAGGCCTAGAGGCCTTATTATAGAAATTATTAAAATTTTCAAAATGTCTACCTTTTGGATTAAGTTACTAAGTGCTGGTAAAATAATAATCAGGATTAATCTATCAGTATTTAATGCTATAATATCTATTGGTTCATCGTCACATTTGCCATCCAGTCATTTAATAGGACCCTCAGAACACAAGAGTCTGTTTTGGCAAAGAAGTGCGTTAGAAAGCTTTGCAGAGTGCTTGGCGAGACTGCAGAGTACTGAATACATCCTTGACTCTCATAAATGCTCTGGCTCTTCAGGAATGGCTCTGAAGAGAGTAGAGAACCTAGCCGGAAACAGGAAGTGAAATGCCCTCAAGAATAAAACTACTTCCCATTTTACCTTGGACCCAGTCGCCCTGCACTTCTCCCTTAGCCTCTAGAAATAGTTTCCTTCTGAGTTGGCTCCAGCAAGTATTCTCCCATTTAAATGCCATCTGTTTATATAATAAAGAAAATCAAAAGACAAACTGCTGGCTGTTAACATTTCCTAACCTCTATTTCTGAATTTCTCTTGACTGGTTCTCTGTGCCAACCACAAATTATCTCCTTTCCCTTTTTCTTGGGAAGTTAAGGAGCCATAAACATTGAGGTAGCAAATATAAGGGTCAGATTTAGGGATCTCTCTTGACTTCGGTTGCTTGGTCAGGATGCTCCTCACAGAAGAGCCACTAAGAACAAGATGAAGCCTTTGAGCAAATCATTCATTAGAAAGTCTATTTTAAAGACACTATGAATTCATCAAGCTTCCTTGAAGTGTTTGAGTCTTGCTATAGAAAGTTCCTGGCCAACAATTGGCTTATAGCAGAAACACAGTCTGGGATTTTAGTTGAGGAGATTTTAGTGGAGAGACTTCCACTGTCATTAACTTCCACTGGAATTTGAAGGTACCTAGGTGGATTGCTTAATTTTGCTTCCTAATAGAATGTTTTGGCTGACAGACTTAATATGGGAGAAATATATTTTTAAATGCTACAACTGAATGCACATACCACACTAAACAATCTTCATGTCTTTAAAATGCAGGTGTAATGTTTGTATTGAGTCTTAGTTCCATCTTCATTGATAATAACACAGGCAATCTATGCTCTGAAATATTTTAGAACTTTATATATTAATTGTAGTTAAAAGTATGGGCACATTTAATACTGTACAAACTCTGTCTAGTTCTAGTATTTAGAAGTAGGACTAAAACCCTTCTCATAGGCCCTCAGATTTGAGGGATGTTATTTGACACAGAGTATGTATCAATGGCATAGCAGTAAGTCAAGTTGTATCTGAGTTCTATGCTTGTTTGGAAGACATGCATCTGAGGTCAGCAAGAACTAAAGCACCCCATTGAGGCTTTTCCCAATAGTAATGGCTCTACCTAATCAATCCGAGTGTATCAGTATTTTGAATCTGCAGATGGTGATGAATCAATCCTGACTTTTTATCGATGTGCATTGCAAATTTAAAGTGGGTGAAAGCTGTGATTATTTTAACTTAGGTTAATAAGTATTCTTGGGTCTTAGTTGGATTTTTACAGTAGTAATTTTTCTGGTTCTGCTCTTTGCCAATATAAAATGAATCACAACTAAAATTATATTACATTTTTTAAAAACAGATTCAAACAAAAAATGATAAATGTTTGGAAGTAGCATAAAGTTATGTGGTTTATGACTGAGTTTTTTAATCTAGCACAAGCACAGTGAGCATTTCCTGTTTTGATCCATAAAATAACCATGTAAGACCCTTTTTGGCATATGTTCTGTATGAAATATTGACAGCTTTGGTTAAATAATCAAAAATGGCAATGCTTTTTTAAAGCACTGTTCAATTTTCACTTAAAGATAGCACATAATTCTTCCAGCGGTGTAGTCTTTACAATACTATTGATCGTTTTCATGACTGTAGGGATCCTGCCACAGGCACCCATTTATAGGACTCTTGGATGCAACAAATAATAGGATTTGAAGGAAACACATACTAATTCTGTTAGTATTGGAAGCCTCCAAGTATACAGTATATCTAAATACACAATTTTTAAAGGCTGTGCTGGAATACCTTTCCTTAAACTAGCAAAATAATTTTTAGCCAATATTAAGAGACTAAACAGCACTTCTACTTTTATAACTTATACACAGTACACACAGATCACAGCAAAATATGATTCAATATAGAACATAGCTAATTGGAGAAAGGAGGATGCAACCTTGGAAGACACAGTAGGAACCTCCTCCTTTGGCTGTGCTCATTAGCCATATGGTATATAGACCAGAGCACTTATCATTTAAACATCCAAATTATCAATAAATACTACTTGATAATCAGAAGGCTGCGACAATTTCATTTTTACCTTTATTGAATAAGCCATAGTTGCATGAGCTTTCTGGAAACCCCAAGTGTGGCTATTTCGGTGTCTCTTCTACACTGCCATGTCATGTAGCATCCCCCAAATCATTTGCTAAATAAACACAATTCAGGACAACATTGTGCCTTTAAACAAAACCATTCTAACTTTGCAATTCCTAACCTCAGCTAAACCATTAGTCTTCAATGCTTTCAAACTCTTTAGTTAAAAAAAAAAAGTCCATTTGGTAGTTAAAAGAATAGATGCATAATTTTATGTCAGCTTGACACAAACTATAGTCATCTGAGAAGTGGGAACTCAATGGAGAAAATGCCTCCATAAGATTGAGCTGTAATCAACCCTGTTAGGCATTTTCTTAATTAGTGATTGATATGCGAGTACCCAGCCCATTGTGGGTGGGGCTACCCCATGCTGCTAGTCCTGGTTCTGTAAGAAATTAGATTGAGAAAACAATAAGGAACAAGCCAGTAAGCCACACCCCTCCTTGGCCTCTGCATCAGGTTCTGCCTCCAGGTTCCTGCCCTGTTGGAGTTCTTGTCCTGACTTCCTTCCATTATGGATAGTGTAACTTTCCTCCCCAAGTTATTTTGGTCATGGTGCTTCATCACAGCAATAATTACCCTAACTAAGACAATAGAGAATAAGAATATTATTGTCAAGTATGGGTTTCACAGTCAAGAGTAGCATGGGTAGATACAGGAGACACAGTCATTAGTGTTGTTTTGTTGCTTTCTGGGAGGTACAGACAACAAAGTCATGTTGTGATCTAATGAGCTTGTGTTCCTCAAAACTATAATAGAATGTCCTTACGTAGAATTAGTAGTCTTGCTACAAAGACTTTTGTCTGATTTAAATGCAACACAAGTGACTTACTGACTTGGAAGTAAGTTGTTTCTCTGTCTCCTCTGGCCTCTTTCTACACTTCCTCCTTCTCCAGCTGTCTGCAGGCTTGGATACACGGCCACATGAGAAGGGAATGAGTGTAGGGTTTGGAGTCAGAGCAACCCAAGAGAAGCCTTGCTCTGCCACTCAGTGCTGTATGATCACGGACAAGTCACTTAAATTAGTCAGCCTCTACTTATGTATTAAAGATATATGTGACAAGGCCAGGTCCTACTGAGTGTTCAATAATGTTAGTTATTATTGTTTTTTATTATCATTTTGAAATTAAAGTATGGATTTTTTAATTAATTAATGTATTTATTATGTATAATATGTTCTGTCTGCATGTATGCCTGCCCACCAGAAGAGGGCACCAGATCCCATAGATGGTTGTGAGCCACTATGCAGTTGCTGGGAATTGAACTCAGGACTTCTGGAAGAGCAGCTAGTGCTCTTAACCTCTGAGCCATCTCTCCAGCCCTAAAGTATGGATTTCTATTCCTTAATTTTTCATCCATTTAAGTCCAGTTGTTGAAAGTATTTATTGTTTCATATCAAATGCCAGACAGCTGACATTCCAGGAAGGCTGTTTCTACAAGTGTTTTTTTTTTTTTGTTGTTGTTGTTGTTGTTTTAAGTTGTAGGTTTTTATTCCTTTTTAAATCCTAAAAATAGAATCCTTATTCCCCAACATACTGTTTTCTTGATTATTTGGGAGTTTCACATAATGTACCCTGATCACCTTTACTTCCTCGTCCTCCCAGGTCCACCCTCCCCATTGTGATCTGCAAGTGTTTTTATCTCATTTATCTCTTTCTCTGTACACATTCATTATGTCACTTGGCCAATTGGCCAAACAAATGTATGTTGATGAGGAAAAAATGTTTTAGACATTACAGTACTTATTTATTTTAGGTTACAGTATTTAAAAGCTCAACCGAGATTTCAGGACTATATTTTTATAGTCTTGACATTATTAAAAAAATCATTTGAAGAATCAGTAACTAAACACCTAAGTTGCTGAGAAAGAAAGGTGACAATTCCAGTGTTCAATTACAGATGTCTAAAGGTTCTTTTCTTTTTTCCTCACTAGTCCACATAATAATAGTCTTTCAATTTCTCACAAATACAAATGCATTTTAAACATGACCTTTATCCCATTGGCTAGTGATTTCTTTATATCACACATCACTTCCAACTTCTAAATTTGTCTAGTGAGTCGAGGGCACCTAATGAACAGACTACGTAAAGATACACTCAGTAGCACAGCCAAGCTGCTATGACAGAAAAGAAACATGCTTTATTGCTGTTCTGTACCTTTGCCCACAGATGTTAGAACAGTTGAGCCAATTGGTGACTGATCACCTGCAAATCCGACGCTGGGTCTTTAAAATGAACATGGAATTTGGAGGAAATGGGACAGCATTTTGTGACATCCCTTCCCACCTCCAGTGCTACAAGTGGGCGCTAAAGGAGAGTGACAGATATGGCCATGAAGACTGGAAGAAGAAGTGGGCACAAGTGAGTGTTCAGTGGCGACTTAGGCCACAACTGTGGACAGTTAGAAGATGCAACCCTTCCTCCCAGACTCAGCTGTCGTCTATGGCAGAGCCTTTCCTGGGCCTTTGTCCTAACATACAACATGAATGGACGTACTGGGTCACTTATCTGTCCATTTGGGGGTCCAAAACATTTTTCACACCTTCAAACTGTTTATGATACCTAAGAAATGACTAAAAAGCCATATTCAAGTAGCATTGCAAATCTTAGCATTTGCCCTGGGCAGATCCTGTGCTTCTGCCAAGTACTGTGATTAAGCTAGCCGTGTGTGTGTGTGTGTGTGTGTGTGTGTGTGTGTGTGTGCATGCGCGTGCGTATGTGTGCATGTGTACATGCGCATGTGTGTGTTTCTACTAGCATATGGAGGTTCCTGACAGCTAATGTAAAATAGCATTCTGTCAGAAGCCATGTTCCTGAAGATACTCTAAAGAAATCTATGTAACTACAAGTCCCTGTGAGAGGCTGAGAGAAGAAAAAACCCCAGAAGAAAACTTCCAGCAAAAACTGAGTAGTAGGCTCAGGATCTTGGGCTAGGTGTGGAGGTGTGTAAACCTTTCCACATATGTTGTTGAAATGAATTATACAACCTCAGTCTGTTCCTACTTTGCTTAAGAGTTGTACTAAGCACTGTCTTACTTTGTATCCTTACACCAGCTTCTCTTTATCACATCTGTGCTACCTGACCTACTAGAAAAAAGAAAATTGGCAGGCAAACTCCTTATATAGTCTCTTTCCTCCCAGCATGCAAAGTGGTGGGCCTTGCAGTGATTTGCATCTGCTTTGCGCATCCCACTACGGAAGTATATGAATCAAGTCGCAAGTGATGGAAAGGCAGGGCACACTGGTGGGAGCCACATTATTCCTGGGCAAGTGAAATGATGAATAAGTCTAGAGAACAGTCAGGAGGGAGAGTTCCCTTTGACAAATGGGTCGGTTCTCCCCATGATCTATTTCGGGCTTTCTTCCCCCTCCAACAGTGAACGGACTAAATGCAGTACCTGTCATGGCTAGCTCTTTACATATTATTTAAAGGATACTAAAGTGAATTACTCTTCTAGAAAAAAAATAAACCAAAGAAAATGTATTTAATTTTGAGGCCAATAGAGGCTTTTCTTATGTTCTCTTTGAACTGGATTTTATCTTCTTGAAGCAAAGCTGTCGAGTTTAAACCATGGAAAAGGCTAGCACTTTTATTTTAAAGACTCGAAATACCAGTGTGTACAGTGTTTGCTGGCCTCAGCATTTCAAACCAATCATTTTTAAAGAAATCCCCTGATATTAGACTATGATAAATTTGAAATGTTTGACTTAGAGTTTTAAAAATATTTACAGTACTGACAGTTGGCTGAATTGTGGTTAGAAACCTCACTGTGGATTATTTAATTTCAATTATTTTAAACTATGCCATTTTAAATTGTTACCAAATACATTTGGCACTGTTGTTAATGTTATTAAATTTGAAATTCTTAAATAATTAATGTCTATTTAAATCATTTAAAAAATCTTAAACAGGGAAAATAATTATTCAGTAATTCTGTTATAACGCAGGCTTCATGCTTAGCTATGATGTATGAGAAGCCAAAGCTGAAAATGAAGATAAGCCCCCGTGAGCTCCCTTCCCTGACTCAGGGACTAAGGACAGCTTATACCTGCAAAGGGAAGCCTTCCTCAGAGTGGAGGTGAGCTGCGGGTATCTGCTGAGAAGTTAGGGTTGGGAATCCACCTTTGTTCCAGAAGACCATTGTAACAGTGCACATTTAGACATCAAAGCGTTATTTTATGAGCACAGTCGCGTTTTAATGCCCTATTACAGTCTGTAGACCTGTTCCTTTCGATAATGAAGATGTTGTGTTATCAAGCCTAGCCGGGCACATACAAAACATATGCTGGCAGGTTATTAAAAATTTCGGCTTCTTGATGAAAGACTATCCTGCAGGCTAAGAGTCCAGAGAAATACTGCATTCTGGGAGAATTACTAGAAATGAGGCTATGACTGTAAGCACTAAATTATGTTAATACTTACAAATAGCATCATTTGCATAGCAGTTTGTGACACGATGCTGTGATTTCGTTATTGGTATATCATGGCAACATATGAAAGCAGTGCAGTGTACAGGGTGGGAGCCACTCTGGAGTCTTAGAAGTAGGCAGGATTCGGTGTAGGCATTGATATATAACACAGAACACCTCTTTGTCCACTCTAATTTTGACATGAGCTTTGGCTGGTTGCAGCCAAGACTTGAAGCAAAGTCACGGGAGCCACCAGATGCTAAAAAGCCATAGTCACCTTTGAAAATTCAGTATCAAGATGTAGGAACCTCTGGAAAAGCAGAAAGGCCACAATGGAAACAAAACACAAATTTTCATATTTTCTTGGAGGCTGGTAACAAGGCTCTGCTTTTCATCCTATTGGTTAATGGCACCAGCTCTCCTTGCTCCACCCACTGGATCCCCATAACCTCAGTTGTGGAGTACACAGTGCTTGCTAAGGTCTGTGAATCCACTTGCACAAATGCAGATTTTTTGCCTCTGAGTCAGGGTATTTGTTTCAGTTAGGAGGAAGGAAGACTTAAACAAAGGCACACTTGCAGGAGAGAAGCCTCCTGACCCATTCCCCTGCCACAGTCTGTGAAACCCAGCTCTGCTTTCTGTGCTACCAGTCTTTCTTGTTACTGTTTTCTAGTTTGTTTATGGGCAAATCTTCCCTCTCTCAATTCTGGGGCCCTATGGTGACAATGATGTCACTGGTGATGGTACTCAGAGAGCAGCTTTCTGTGGAGCAGCTCCTCTGGGTAAAGAGTGAAACTGGATTCCTCTCAGCTTTCTTTGTGCCTCCCTTCATTGAACCTCTGCTGTCCTGGAGAGTCTGGGATATGGATCTTGGCATTGCTACTTTACCACTTAATGGGAGAAAGGAAACTGAACTGGCTGGCTCTTGAATAGTACTATTACACATTGTTATTTGGCCGTTTGTAGGAACAGCGTGTTTTTTAAAGATTTAATTTTTTAATTTTATGTGTATAAGTGTTTGGCCTGCATATTTGCCTGTGTACTGTGTGTGTGCCTGGTGCCTGTGGAAGCCAGAAGACGATACCCTGAACCTGGAGTCACAGTTAGAGCCATCTTGTGGATGTTGAGAACCAAACTCTGGTCCTCTGCAAGCATAGCAAGTGCTCTTAGCTGCTCAGCTATCTCTCTAGCCAGCAAGAATAGTTGTATTTTTGTTTTTTTTTAAACCTTTCTTTGTACACTCCTTTGTTTTACTGTGTTAAGACATTTGGTAGTAATTTCAGCATCACCTGAAGGGAAAGATCCTAATCCAGGGTATCCAAACTTAGAAGGCAGACTAAACCATAATTATTATTCCATTTTCTTAGAGAACTAATAAGACAGGGAGCAAACCATTACAGAGGAGACCTGCCCTCCACGATGCGCTCAGAGCAACTCCCACGGCCTCTGTGAAGCCTTCCTTGGAAGCAGTAATGGGAGCCACTTGCAGGCAGCTGACCTAAGTGCCTCATGTAGACTATGGTCTGGCTTTATTAGGTGAGCTCAAAAAGCCATTGACTTATCACCACAAATGTCTAGTAAAGTTAAAATATAATGTAACTTTAAAATATAACAATATTAAAAATATGTCTAACCAAATAAGTTTAAAATCACGTTTCCCATTGCCATCATTTTCCTGAATTAATTCTCAAATGTGTATCATCTCTCATTGCCACAATAATTGTAAATATGGTAATTAGACATAGGATCTTAACCATTTGCCCTGCTTATTCATATTCATCACAATTAACAGCTGCATGATATTCTATTTTATTGATTAATTCTAATATGCTAAATCATTCACCTGTCTGAAAACTTAAAACTTTTCTCTGGTTTTGTTTTGTTTTGTTTTAAATTGTGGACCAGAGAAAAGCTTTGTTTTTACTTTTAGAATGTGCCAAAAGCAAAACAAAACCAAACCAAACCTGTGTTATTGTTTTCCAGGAGAAAGCCCATGAACAGAATGCGGTACAAAGTAGGAAGCTTCGACTTCTGTCGTATGTGCTGCATTTTTAGGAAGGTGCTAATGGCTGCCCAGACCATTAGCAAAGCGTGCAGAACAAGGAGCTGAGTGCACCTAAAAAGACTTCCTTAAATTCCTAGAGAAGCAGTCCTACCTTAGGTCTGTCCTGCTTCTCTGGCAGACTTTCTCAAAGCACAGATGGCCCCAGCCCACCACTACTCTAGAGTACATCCTTTTCCAGGAGGCAGGTGAAGGTGAGGAAAGCTGTCAGTATGCATAGCTCAGCTGCAGAAGGGAGGGGCCTGATCAGGAGCCCCTAGAAAACCCAGCTGCCTCAACACATACAAACCTGTTAACAGCAGAGTTGACAAAAGAGTATTTTATATGTTACCATTTGCCCAGTCATGGGGATATACACTTTGGTATTTTTCTCAATTTAATACACTGTCATAGTCATTTGAGTCTGCCTATACATTATCAGAGTGTTGAACAGCCTGCCTTCACAACCAGATGTAGCACAAAAACATGATGAGCAATTCAACTTTCTTTTTTTGCATAAGCCACCAAAAATTTTGGTTATGTTTTTACTTATTTTTTAGACATAATTCAAGTTTACATAGTAAACATTTTTAAGCAGAAAAAGAGTTGAAATGGGTCAGTCTGATGCTGAGAAGTTAGCTACTGAGTGAACACTCAGGGTAACTGAGGGGTAGTTGGCTTCACAAGGTCCCATTACTCTGCCTCCCTTAGATCTTAAGAGGGAATAAGCCATAACCAAATCACCAGGCTCTCTAAGCTGCCATTTCTTTATCTGGAAACATAGCAGTTCACCTGTCTCATGGGGCGGTGATGAGAATTAAATGAATCCTGTAAAATGCTAGCAATATTCTTAGCATATGAAAGTTTAAGACATTGTTGCTTTTTATTACGCATATTAATTAAATTTCTA